GTGGTACAAACAGATTCCCCTTCCACATGTCAGACTCCATTTTTTTAATTAATTTTAGCAAATATTATCGGATAAAGTTATAAATTCGTTCGAATAGCATTATTGGTATGCAGTGAAATTTAACATTTGAAGTTTAATATTTCAATATGATGAAAAAAAATATAATTTACTTTTAAGTTTTTCAAAAATTTGAAATTTTCCAATTATTGTAGTATTACTATTCTTGTGTTACTAGATATTTCATCGCTATTGTTCTTATATACAACAACATGGCAATATAATAAAAATCCCTAGTAAACAAAATTTCTTTTAATACGAATTATATTTATTCTAAATTATTCATTATTTTATTTCCAAATCTTGGATTAAACTGAAAGCATGCTGTACGCGAATAAACAATTTAATGTGAGGAATAACAGAAATTGAACTTTAGAATGGACATTTCGTAACCAAAATATCATACAGAAAATATTGTATTATTTAACATCAAATTTTGTGTCATTTGTAATAGTTTATTTTTCCATTTGATTTTTAATTCTAATGTTATGCCCTCCAGTCATCGGGAAATGACACATTCCATCTATATATAGACAATGGTACACCAATTTTTTGAGTGCTTTGTTTTAATTCAAATTATAAAAGTTTAAAAAATAATCAGACTAAGAAAGGACACATACATGGTAGTTAAAAGCATATTAAAAATAATATTGAACTATGCAAATTAGAAAAAATTACTTAGCGATGATAGAAAACAAGAATACAAAATTGACATAATAAAGCACACTGTTGCAAAGTAAAAATAATAAATGTCTCTTGACTTATTTAACAAATTCTTCAAATTTCAAAAATTATTTAAATATATCACGCTATAGACCTAATTTTCAATTTTATTAATTTGTCAGTACCTAGCACACTTCCCAAAATTGTGCATTGCGTCAAGAATGTAGTCGTAGCAAATAATTCATCACCATCAAAACGAAGGTTGACTTGTACGATTGTTTGCGAGTAAAGTGAATTCTCGATGGTGTCGAATAATAACTTTGTAACTAGGTTTAATGCATCTCGCGTGTCTAATGTGTCTGCACTCCAAACTTGTGTCTCGAAAAGGTTACGTCTGCAACTTATGTAAGTCGTGTCCCTAGAGATTTATGTTTAATGCTGTATTGAAATTCTTTGTTTGAACTCAAAGCACCAAATATTCTTGAAACAGGTGTAATATAAATTCGTGAGAAATTTTTATTCGGGCTAATTGACAGATAAATAATTTTTATTCTTAGAAAGAGATAAAGAAGAATATGGAGCTTCTTTCGTTATACTACATAATATATTATATTTGCTCTACTGATTACTATACCAGCGATTCTTAACCTTTTTCCTTATACCAACAATGTATACCAACAAGCAATACGTGATCAAGCTACGTACACATCTACTGTATTAATATTAGTAGTATTTAATTATTTGCAGTACCTATTTATTAGAAGTGCTCTATCATTATTAATAATATATAATTTCATGTAATTGGATTCAGTTCACTTACCACCTGAAAATGCTCAACTAGTGGGACGCATACCATAGACTGTGGATCACTGTACTATACTACTATATGTAGTGCATGATATATCACGTATTTAGTATACATAAATGAATAATACAATTTTTTCATATATTTTGTATAAAACAAATTTCTTCTTTGAATCTACATATTTTAAAAGAGAAAGAATATACAAAAATATATAAAATTTATTATCCTGTTTCGTAATTTTTGTCAGCAAGTGTTTAGTATGTAAATACTGCTCTTTATAATATAGTAATAATATTACTGTATAGTACTGTATATATTGTACAATGTTATTTATACGATATATATATTACAGTATAGTAATATTCATGATGTATAGTACATAGTACGTTAATATTTGTAGTATCGAATTATGTCCTTCGTCGTAGAAAAGAATTTAATTTGTGTCGTCTCAGAGAATGCAAGTTAAACTGATTTTATTGCATAAAAGCCAAGAGAAAATAAAATTATCTTTAAATTAAGTACTGCTAAATAAGTGGAACACGAATATTCTGAAATAACTTATGAAATTTAATTTACGAAATTTTTACATAGGAATGTAACGATCGTAAGTACAGAAGGTGATGGATAAACAAGATGGCGGACTTCGTATCTAAGAAATATCTTGCTCATTTGCTTTGCCCTTAATAATTGAATAGGAATAAATTAAAATGAACAAAGAATATCTAAGTACTTTTGAAATCTTTTATTAGACCCACCTTACATTTATAATTACCTAACTTTTTTAACGAATAATATTCGGTATATAATAACTAGGTTGGTTTCGTGAAAAAACGTTTCTAAATTTTCCTATACGAATATTGTACATAGCACAACAAAGTTTTTTTTATGAAATAGCTATCCGAATGTTTCGATACAATAACAAAAATTCAACGACTGCATGAAAATCCTATTAAATCCTGTGTGACCCCTTTATTTTTTGTTCCACGTTGAAAATACCAGTAAAATCAATAAAAATTCGCGAGTGCTTTATAATGATGCCCAAAATATTCCTTACCCTTAAACGTGAAGTATATCGATACCGATAAATATTTAGATTGTCAAATAAAATGCTATTCCAATGATTTCCGTCTGACAGTGTAAGTATAATATGTCGGAGAGTACACGATGAACAAAAATTTGCAGTTAAGGAACAGTAATTTGTCAAGTGCTATAGAATTATTAGTGGTATTAGATTAACTACGCATCATCGGCTTAAGGAACATCAATCATGCATCATTAAAGACAAATAACAGGAGATAAACACGCGATGGAAACCTGAATATCGTGTAATAGCCACGCTACGCTTACTACGCATTTTCTTCATTTTCCTTTCACAAATAAAAGTCCAAAGTCAATTTCCTGTTATGTTAACATTGATCGTTTATTTATTTACTTCTTCAGAATACCAAAGTCTTCGGAAAATGATTAAAATACAGTTTTGGTACTCGATAAACTTGACTTGACCTAAATATACCTTTCCTTTTTAATAAAAGTTTCAAATTAATTTCATGCTATATTATTATACTGCTCGTTATCTATTTATTTACTACCTCAAATTACCACAGACTTTAAGCAAATCATTTCCACATTAACCTCGTTAAATTTCAGATACCTTCGACCAAACAATACCATATTGAATCCAAATAATAACAAAAACATGGATAATGATTATTAATTATTGATCTACGATATATAATTCATATTCGATAATTGTTGATCAAATTCGAGATGTAAAATTTCCTTCGTTCGATCCTATTTAATACACACACGTGCCACTCAGAATGCACAGCTTTTAAATCGCCGTACTACCATATTAGCTTATACGTTGCAGACGGTCAAAGTGATAGCTATGAGGCACGACGTGGGCTTGCAAACGACCATGAAGAGAGCAAACGCGTTTCAGAGACAGTTTTGGACGTGACATGTGCCTACACTGTCCATCATACTACCGGTTAATCTACCACTACTCAACGCAGGTGGATTCAGCAAACAGGCAGCCAAAACTTCCACGTGCAAACATCACTTGCTTACGAAAGCATGATAATCATAGTGGATGGTCGAACATCGATGTATCGGTCTACAGAAAATGGGTTAGCGTTCTGAATAATTAAATAATGCACGGTTTAGAGGAAGAGTTTTGTTAGCTTGATACATCAAATTTGATATTTAATATTGTATATATTTTCTTAAGGATGAAATTCAAGGGGGAAGGAATTTTTTAATAGGATTTCTGTTTGGAAATTTTTATTTAGACTCGTAATCTCATTATCGATGAAATTTCCGAAATATTACTTGCTTGTGGACAGATGATAATCATAGTGCATAGCCGAACATCGATGTATGGGTAAACAGAAAATGGGTTAGGGTTCTAAATAATTAAATAATTAAAATAATTCTCACAATACTTCTATAAAATCAACAAAAATTCAAAATTCAAGAGGAACTGAACAAGTTTCATAAATAAAAGGTATACAATTTTAGAAAGAATTTTAACATAATACTATCAACAGCAAACAGAGATCAGTCAAAAACTCCCTCAGATTTCTCTCTAAACAAATAAAAAAGATATCAAGCAAATGAGACTGCAACTTGGTAAAACAAGAAAATATAATAATCATGTTTATATTGTTTCACAATATACTATTCGTTCAATAAATTTCCAAAATATCACTTGCTTGTGGACAGATGATAATTATAGTGCATAGCCGAGCATCAAAGTATGGATAAACACAAAATGGGTTAGTGTTGTAAATAATTAAATAATTAAATAAAATAAATATGTTTCAATTGTTAAGAAATTAAAATTTTAATTTCTTGCCTTTCTATCGACGAAGTTTCCCTGTTTATGTACTATTAAAACTATATTAATTTCGAAGAATAATTACGATGAAATTTGCATATCAATCGAAATTTCAATTTCAATTTTAAAATCTTATAATCCTTAGTGATTTACAAATTTCAACCACAATATAACTCTCACAATACTTCTATAAAATCAACAAAAGTTAAGAATTCAAACATAATACTACCTACAGCAAACAGAGATACCTTGAAAACTCCCTCATATTTCTCTTTAAATAAATAGAAAAAGTATTAAGCAAATGAGACTGCAGCTTGGTGAAACAAGAAAACATAATAATCATGCTTATATTGCTTCACAATATACTATTCGTTCGAGAACAAGTGGAATTGTTTCTTTAACGACTCTGATTAAAATCCCTTAGAAATAATGTCAGAAACTCGACGTATCATTGTATGTTACTCTATCATTGATACAGACAATGAGAAGCTGTCGCTGTTGAGGTGAAGCCTAGGGTAAATATTTTTCTTTTATAAAACCATAAAGGGCAGCGCGGTTCAAAGGTACGTTTGAAACAAAAGGGACATCTTTAATGCCTGAAATACTTGTGCGTGTACAATGCAAAGATCTTCTTACCTGGCAACCGCCTCGCTGTACACGAATCCAGCGGTTGCTCTCCGAACGACCTCGAAGCATAAATCAGAGCCATCCATACTGAAACAGAAGCACGACATTAATGCATAATTTACAAGGTGTAAGGATTTATGGGAACATTGGGAAGAAAAAAAAGGAGGGTCGTGGTGTATCTCGAAAGCCTGTACACGTGTTTAGAAGGGCTGCATGATAAAACATGGCGATCTCTAAGCAGATATATACATCCTGTCACGTGTCGATCTTTCTGTTCCATTTACTTTAGATTATATAAAAGCAATGACGAATCGAGAGATTGTCGCTCCTCCAAGGCAATAGGTAACTTACATTTTGCATAACTAGTATTTATATTATATAATTTTCTTAAATTATATTAGCATTTATTATAAAATAAATATATATTTATAAACTCATATTACTAAATTATATTAGTAAATAAATGCTTTATAAGATTATATTTTCTATTCTAAATTAAATTTTGTAAAACAAGTTTGACACCCTACAGTAGGACACCCTATAATGCGAGAGGTTCGACCTTATCAAGAATAAAAACGATTGCAAATAAATTAATAATTCCCTTTTTAATATAACAAAAAATTATACGCATTTTATTTTATTTCATATAATAAAAACGTCAAATTTACGCGTTACTGTATACCGAGTGTGCCGGAAAATTGTGGGAGTTCAATTTAACGGTGAAAAGAAGAAAAAAATATTCCATAAAGTTTGGGAATAAACGCTTTGTTATAAAGTTATTAGTAAAAAAAAACAAAGAAAAACAATCCACGCAAAGTTTTGACCTTTCCTTTCGAAGGAAAATGCAACTTTTCGACTTTTTAAATATTTTTTTGAATTTTTCAAAAATTTTCCCATATGCTTGAAATTACGGAATACGAAATTACGCAGACATCATTATTTCGACGCATTTTCACGGAAGATTTATAGCAATTGGTGGAAACCCGATATTTACGAGAAATATAAAATTATCAATTTCCATTCGTCGAATTTACCTGTCTCGAACTGCTGACAAAATATACAACTACTGATTACGCAAGAAATAAACAGAATATAAATTAACGAACCACATTGATGATCAATAATCGACAGTGTTGTGTGAGTTGATTACGTTAACAATCGTAACGAGGTTCCTTGCTACAACGCCGTGTGTTCCAATTATTGTGGATTCATTCAATGCTAATTAGGTCGATTCATAATGATGCAAAGTTTGTGCAGAGAGACTGGATAGGTTAAGACTGAGAAACTCGAATAAACGAAACACTCGTAGATTTTCGAAAAGATTTATGAAAGAAATATTATTTGTTTACATAAATTTAACGAAATTTATGTAAAACAAGTCTCGATAACTGGTATAATATTTCGTATGATGTTTTATAGAAGGATTGATTATAATAAATTATCAAAATTAAAAACAAAATAATAATTTATGAATTTTCTCATACTCTTTATCTCCTAAGATATATCTATAGATTAAAATTAAAAATAGACGTTATGCAAGACACTTGTAAAATATTATCTCTTCAACCTATTTTTAATTTTAATATGTATATACAGATATAGTATGTAATTTTAATATATATGCAGAGCAGAAGATAAACAATATATAAAAATTCGCGAGTGATTTAAATCATATTTTAACTTTTAATTTTTTTTCTTGTTTAGACAAGATTGTGAAATTATATTAGGCAAATCTTCCACTTAAGAACTTTGCGTGCTTCCTGATATACATATGTCTATTAAAATGCATGAGTAACTCGTACGATATATCACACATACTTCACGGATAGTAGACATCGAATTTCAAATGCTGACATAGAAGTTTGTATCTTTCTAGAGTGACGATAAATCGATCAGATAATAAAAAATAAAAATTTGGAATAGAGAAAAAATTCGTCAAGACCGAGAGATTAATAAAATATTTTTCTAATAATTTTTAATGTAATTATGCTTGGAATATTGTGCAATATTTTCAAAAGAAATAATTACAAAATGCTTTAACAAAATTTCTTTGATGTGTTATATATACATATATGTAGAAATTAGGATAGTATTTTACTTTTGTAAGTGAAATTGAATGAGTGAAGCTCATTTGTCCTATAATTGTGTAATGTGTGATAAAAATATAATGCGAAAAATATATAGAGTGCCGTCTAGTATGAATAATATTTGAAACAATGTTTGGAAGAATGTGCCAAAATGAAATTGTCTGAGAAATATCAAAGAATAAACACGTAAATTTAATAGTTATTAACCCTTTGCACTCGACGATTTTTTGGCTAGAGAAGAGAAGAAATTCAAACATTCTATACTAAACAACAGACGATACTTTTTTGAGCAGTAAATAAAAAATTGTATAATTATTTGATTTCGATACCTCGCACACTGTTACATTACGTTAAATTTGATATATTAATTAATATCGATCTTCCAAATTTTATGAAATGGTGACTGAAGCTCACCTCTCGAGTGTAAAGGGTTAAGAATGAATGAGTGAGAGAAGAAACTTTTGGAAGGAGTGCTCCGATTTTATTATTTCAAATAATTTATAATATTTCTAATATATTTTCAAATATATTCAAATATTTTATTATTTCAAATTTTGTGAGTTTCTGGTTAAAAAGGTCTCGTATATTATTATCCACTCAACCCACAACTATTTCTATAGTAATTACTAATAACTGCAGTCATGTAAAGCTATGGAAACAACTTCCATCGAGTTTACTTTATGAAGTAATAATTTTGCACATGTCTAGTCACGTTACAAACATTTGGTGTTTGAATTCGGGGATTGGACACATAAATGTTATCATGGGTTTACCATTGTCGGTAATTTTATTGCTTTAATTCATTTACATAACAAATTATTATTTCATTATTTATCGAACCTGAATACCGTAACACCATAATAGCTACCTACTGACAAGGCTTTTTTCAATTGCAGTTATTCGTCCCGTTTAAAAAAGCTCACAGTGATTTCGGTGTCGCGATAAAAAAGAAAAATAGCAGAAAATCGATTACCTCCGTTTGATATCGCGCAATTTTTAGTTGGAATATTTTTCTTCCATTTTAACCAACAATTTAAAGTGGTCGAATTAAGTAAACCGTTCTGTATTTATAAATGGAAATATACACCGGATACTATTTTTATTTCGGTAAATGTTTTTATCTGAACACGGAAACGTTTATTTGCTAAAGAAGAGAGATATATGCGAATGTGCAAATAATTTCCTGCTCCGACACCTTCAACGCCTTCAACGTAATTAAACTATTTTGGTCCCACCAATATCGAAAAACTCTCTTCTAAAATGCAGAGTAACATTACCCCGCTTCATGAATCTAAATACGGAACAAGCAGGTGCAACTACGAAATAGATTGCATACATTGAAACTTTTTATCTTCAGCCCTGTTATCGTCTTCGTGGAAGCAGCGTGTAAAATTGGGCGTTGCTATGCAATGGCGGTGCTCAACTGTTAAACAGCTTTTTCGTACCTAAAAGTAACTGCAAACGATTTAATTGGTCGCTATAACATTCCATAGCAACGGTTTTAGTACACGATTTTAGAAGCCTGTTTTCGTGCTCGTATCGTTTTTGTTTCGATGTCGATATGGTTAGCTTTCCAGATTCTACTCTCAACTTTTTCGTCTGCTTTTTTTCCCCCTTTCTGCATGGGATTATTGTAACAAAGCCATTTCTCATCCTCGAATCCTTTTCACGGAATACACATTTTTGCCCATTCTTTAGTAAACAGTAAACGTCGCGATTTGATACAGTACGAGATACCTTTTTTCATTCGTAACATACATATGTCCCGAATACCATTCATACGATAAATAACCGTCGAGAAAATATTTGTAAATATTAATTCCTGGAATTAGTATTTTTACGAAGAACAATTGGTTATCTCGTAATTTTATAGAGCGATGGAAATTTGAAATGTTGATTTTTCAAAAACCATTAGACATATTGAGAAATATTTTCAAGAAAGGAATCTAAAATTTCCTAATCCATTTGCAAATTAAACTACTTTGGTTAATTTGAATTTAAATTTCTTAATTTTTAATTTTCAAATTTGCACACGATAAATAATATATTAATATAAATGAATTTTTAAATAATTATTTTTAAACAAATTATTATTTAGGTAATTATAGAAATAAGTTTCGGATAATAATTTAAAAGTATAAAACAATTCATACATTTTTTAGAAATTAAAATTTGATATTTTCATCATGTACCTGTCTTATTTCATATTTACTATATATCCGGTTACTCATAGGCGGAAGTACTTAAATATAAACACACGTTACACAGATGTTACACGTTACTGTTCTGTAATGTTCAAGATATAAATAGATAATAAAGGTGAGAACAAGCGAGATCCGTGTGAATAAATGACTGAAAAGTAAATACGTAGCTTCAGAAATGTTCAGTTTTTTAATATCACCATGACATTAATGCTTCTTCCCCCGTGTGCACATACTTGAAAATAATTGGTCTCTCGAGAATCGAATGTTTCGTGGAGAAATACATAACAGACAAGAGTGTTATATCTAGGCATGTATGAATTTGCTATCTCCATTTATTCTTTATTTCAACACGCGACTCCATTTTCTCATAAATTTGAAACCTTCAGTGAATGTTTAAAACAAATGCACTAAAAATTTTCCATCATCTTCAAGGAACTCTATTACATTATCTTTCACATTTCATATATCTTATACTCTTTTCAAATTTTACTCCAAAATTAGTAAATGTTAAACTATTAGATTTATATTCAAAAAATATATACAAAGAAAAATTTATAATTAGCTACAAAATTATTAATCTGTTTTAATTTATTATAGAAAACGAAATACAATTAATATACCAATTTTATAAATAATGCAATGTCAATTTTATAATTAGCTTCGCCTAGTATTGTATTCCAATTCAACATGGAATACAGTGGTATAAATAGCAATAACTGAGTCATATAAAATATAAATAACATTTACAACACTGCGACAGGAAATAAATGAACGTGCACCGAGATCGCAATTGAAAATATCGAGGAAGTTAGGAATTATATTATTAATTAAATAATAACACTGGAGCTGACGAGAATAACCAAAATTAACTAATTAAATAGCTGTATGAACCGCGATATTATTGCCTCAGTGCAAACTGCAACAATCGCATAACCCCAGAAATTCACTTATTAGTAAATATTATGTGAACAAGGATTCCAGCCTCGATAATTTCACACGTTATTCACTGGAAAATTCAATACTTTCGATATATACGAAGAACATTCAATTACTAGATAATGTTCAAATATCTTCGCTCTATAGTAAAAGAAAATTATAATAATAGATACTGAATGATTACGAAAAATGCCCTAGAATTAAACAAAACTTAAATATCTACATTGCATGAAAAAACAAAATTATGCGAGTAGATATTAACTATATATAAAAATACTCAATAATAAAATAAAATGTAAATATCTAGTTCCTATAAAAGAATAATAACAAATATTATAGTATTATTAAGTAAAGTACAGTAATATTATAGTAACAAATATTAACATAATATTAAAATAATAATATTATAAGTATAGTAATATTATAGTAACAAATATTGACTAAACGTAAAAGACAGTATATAAATAAATAAAATTTAAGTATCTACATGTTACAATAAAACGAAATTATATCAACACATGTACATTAAATATACCCAAGAAAAGTCAATAACTAAATATAAAATTTCCATGTCTACCTATTTTATTGCCTCGCTAAACTAGCATAATATTCACAAAGTAATATATTGTAATTATCGCTAACAACCCAAAGAGGCGTGTAATTTAATAAACCAAGCTGACTAATTAAAATTACGCAAATTACGTATTCCAACAGTTATTAAATGATACAGCTTTATGAAAATTCGAATAAGATGCACGGTAATATTTTCGTGTCACTGCTCTCCCACTTCCTCTCGAGGAGGCACTTCCTGTTTAGGAAATCGTTTGACTCGAAACTTATTCAGAAATTAAACAAAGAGACAAAAGAAAGGAAAAGAAAAAACCGAACGTTAAAAGAACGTTGGCTGCGAAAAAAGGAGCTGTCGTCAACGAGCACATTCAAAAGGTCTTTCAAGAAATTATGAACAAATTCAGGCACATAAGCGCGGTACCAAGACATCGCTACGCTGTTATGTCATTCCACACTTCTCCCACCGTTTAAAGCTTTCGAAACGCTCCAAAACGGTTTAAACGAACGTTTTATGAAATCACGAGAACTCCCGTGAAATCTAAAGATCAAATCGTGACGAAAATGTATTCCGCGCTTTCGTTGATGAATTATTAAAATGGCGAACGGTGAGGCTAAGATCGAGGCAAACGGAAACTCATGCTTGAGAATACACGTGAAATTTTGGACAAGACTCGGTCTCTTTGAGCAAAGGGGAGAAGGAATAAATTAAACATGGTCATACTTACTATTCGAACACCATATAGAGCATACCCTCCGAGCTGTAGGTTTCCAATAGCTCTACGATATGGGGATGCTTTAACATGTGACATATCGTGGCCTCTCGCTTCAGATCTGCAGCAATCATACATTTATGGCGTTTGATTTTTTTATGTTTCACAATGGCTCGTAAAATTTATGACAGAACACAGTGGGAGATAAAAAATTCATTGCTTTCATTTTTCGGGATTACATTGCAAGTAAATTTCGTTACAAATTGGAAAACCAAACAAAAAGTGAGAACGTAATTTCATTGTAAACAGTTTGAAGAGTATATATAGTTGCATTTATAAAATTATCACTGGTAATCAATATTTTTGTGTCACTTTAAAATATTTTGTATATTAAATAATATTTGTGTAACTGAACATGGTATTATATGTTTAATATCTATAAATATTTACAAATATTATAATATACTAATAAAACAGAAATTAATATTCTAATATATTATACATAAAATTAATTCGGAAACAGCAATGATAACAAAGAATTTAAATAAAGAGTTCAATGACTCCTCCATTTTTGCAGAATTATGTATTCAGAAATTCTCTAAATTTTTTAAGTTATCTTTATATGAATTTATTACAAAATATAGAACTATCTGTTACCTCATTCGAATAGTAATAATTTAACAAGAAATTGGACAAATTAAATTTGAAATATAAAAATATGCAGAGAATGTATAATTATGAAACATATAATATTAATGGCTTTTGGAGACAGTCAATGAAGATCACTTTATAGTTAAAAATTATTATAGCTATAAATATTGTGGGCCTGAAATAAGTTTGACATAAGGCAAAGACGAATTTTGAGAAAGTTAGAAATGCATTAGAAATCAGATTTTATAAAGCTGCTTTCCAGTACATTGTGACGTTCAAGCTGTTCTTATGAAATTATGTTCTAACTATGACGCATTTTCATAATATTATTAACCTTTAAAGCGATGCATCTCCTTTTTACCTATTATTAGAACTATGTACCTCTTAGACGAACGTATGTAAAAAAGATAATTTTTATTATTAGACACGTAACAAATATACACCGTAAGAACTATACACCTACGAAGTACTCGAGCAATATTTCTCATAAACAAACAATAAGCATCGTTATCAAGACCAAATACGAAGAGAATTAATCAAACGGACCATATACTCTTTTATTACATTTTTATTGAAAATATAATAAAAGATATTTCTATTTATCTATCGAAAAAGAAATCAAAATCTTCTGAAATACGTTAACTTTTATCGCTAACAATGTTAACGTCAAAAGCTCCGCGTATAACCTCTCCGCCATCAACGCCCCCTGGACGTGTCCCCAATCCGCGCAAATAAAATCTTACACTCCGAACCTAGAAATCCTTCCTACGTGTTCCACATTAAAATCGACGAGACACGTTTAGGAGAACGAAAGCAATTTCAATCGTATCGCACAATGGACCAGGCGAATTCATTGCTGCTCGGATCGTGTGCACGTCGTAGTGTGAAAGAGAATACGTAAACATGAAATCGAGCAGAGAGAATACGTTTGTTTCGAACAGGCTAGAACGGCGGAAATTAATGGCGGAACACCAGAGGCATATGCACGCGTCCCGATTCCCAACAGACTCACCGTTCGTGCTTAAACCTGGGCTGGATGTGAACTTCGCAACGTCCACGATTTTTACCGCGAACACCTGCACCGTCTGTCGGTGAATGCATTTTCTAACCACGCTGAACGGTCCCCTGTAACAGAGAAACAGAAACAACGTGCTGAAACGATCGCGATCACGGTCACAGGACGACTAACACGCGGTCTATCCCCACCACTCGCCATGCAACTCTAAGCGCGGCGACTATATGGAACTCTGAGCGAGTAAGATATATTCGCGAGGACGTCGGTTGGCTAATTTGCCGTATGTTAACCGCGCGCGCATTCGTCGAATTCGCGCAAAACCATAATGCACCGAATGATCTCTATTCAGCGATCGAACGGCCATACATTATTGCGATTGTCTCGGGCACGCTGGCCCTTTAAGTTAGCTAAGTAAACCGTTACGTAATCGATTCGGTCAAGATATGTGTGCATGCATTTGTAAGAGGAACGTGTGATATCTGGGTCACCGATTTTGATTAAATTTAACGTACGAAGCACGGTACACGTATGTAACGTGGGGATGATAGTATTTATCTAGTGGGAGCGATGAGTGTTTGGTCGAACGATAGACGTGGGAATAAAGGTTGGGTGTGGAGGTTAGGGGTGTGGAAAAGAGTGTTTGGATTGAGTACTTGAGATTACCTTGTAGGATATAGGCCACCTGTGATTTGGAATGGAAGTACCTGTATATCTTTTAGGAAAAAAGAGGTTATGTACGCGCAATGGTAAGTACACAATCACAGCCAATTAGTAGTTTGTAATGAAGGATTACAGAGTGATGGGTGAAAATCGATATGCATATGTAAAAAGTACCCATTTCATTTGCTTTACACAGGATTCTCCACTCCACACAATTCTATACAGAGTGTTTCATATGAAGGGTAAGAGAGAAAACAGAATATATCTGTTTAATAACTTTGGGTGTACATTTTGTCAATGGCAGTTGGCATTATAGCAGATGGAACTGTACACTTACTCTTCTGATTTACTAAATAAGAGTAAAAACTTATTAACTTTCTTATAGAGAAACTGTGAATGATACAGTTAATTTTATAGAATTTTCTTCCTTTATTAATGGACTTTGAAGTATTAAAATTAAAATTAAATTTTTATATAATATAAATTAAAATTTGTTTGTAATTTATATTTTATTATTTTTATTTGATGCTATTGTTTAAATAATTATATTGGTATTACTCATTTATAAATTATAAAAACTCAGAATAATTATAATATATGTGACTAAATGAAAATTATTCTATTGAAAGCATAGGGGAGGATATCACCACTGTATATCCTCACTTGAGTTTTGATGATAGAGAAAAATATTTTGTATGCAATTTGAATAGTATCAAAGGACGAATATGTATTAAGGAATATTTTGGTCCAATCTCATGTTATTCGAAAATTTCAAAGTCAATGAGTTCCTTTCCTGTATGTAAATGTGTACTTTTTTACTTGCATATTGTTATTGGTATTCAAATCCATGCAAAAATAGAAATTCATTCGATAATATAGGGACACTTGTAAAATGGAATTAAAAGATTATAAACAATTAAAGCAGAAATTCGTTTAGCATTCACTCTTAATAATCCCAAATCATTCTGTTCTCGCTTCTCATTTATTGTATCATCGCAATAATATCAACACGCCAACTTGCATTCGCTCGATCATTACACCACCATTCAAATTGAATTTAATTACTTCTGACAATCGATAATCAAATATGCGAATAAATTAATAACTAGCAACCATACGTAGCAAACTGTTACCATATTACAATAATATCTGCAATAATAATATTCACTATGAAATGACCTTTGGTTCCTGAATTAATCTTAATACTCGATAGTATCATGGCTGACCATGATAATCTGCATTCCATTTCCTAATTTTAGTACAATTTTCCAAAAATCTTTAAATACTTATTTGTTCCCATATATGTTTATTAAATTTAACGTTATAAACACTATATACACTATAAATTTAACGTTATATATATTATATTATTTATTATTTATATTATGTACATATAACGTTAAATTTGTAGTGTATATAGTGTTTATATTGTATATAATAATAAATAGAGAAACTATATATATAGTTGCTCTATTTGAAAAAGAAATCTTTTAATATTTATTTACTAAGTCATCATACAGCAATAAATTATGGTGCCCTGTTAAATATATTATATTATTTATTATTTATATTATATACATATAACGTAAAATTTGTAGTGTATATAGTGTTTATATTGTATATAATAATAAATAGAGAAACTATATACATATATTTGCTCCATTTGGAAAAGAGATTTTTTAATATTTATTTACCAAGTCATCATACAGCAATAAATTATGGTGCCCAGATAAATTTAATATTGTATAATCATAATTATAACGTAAAAAGGCAAAAGTGTCTAAATATTTATAAATATTTCATTACCATCGTGTTGCAATGAATTATCAAGCCTCGTTGGATTAAAATTATACAATTATAAATAGCATGGTATGAAAGGAAGTGAGACCTTTAGGAAATTCATATAATATGATGCACCTAGTATAACGCGCAAACATTTGTTTACCCACAATCGAGTTCGTCAGCAATCGTGCAAAGCAAATCGGGTGAAACGAAATCCGACATGCGTGTTTACAAAAGATCAAAGTCTATCTCATTAAAACGGATCATAAAGTGTTCCGTTGAGCAACAAGTATTCTCGCATAAATGCCCCACCGTGAAAAAGCTCATACCTGGGTGCTCGAAGATTCGTGTCAAGAACTAAGGAGACGATAACTGAGCAGAACCCGACTTCAACATATCTCGCGATACCATCGACGGAATCAAGCTTTATGTCTCAGTGTCTCTAGACAAAAGTGTATATCGTAAAAAGGAAATTGTTCAATTTAAATTCTCAACTCTTCGCTCTCATCCTCTCCCTCGTTTGGTGACTAAGAAACTTCTCATTTCAAGACACGCTACGAAATTACAGAAGCAAGGGTTCTAACCTAATTGTCGAATCCTTGAAGCTTGAATTTCAAATATCGTAAGATCTCAGGATTCGAAGTTTCAAAAATTCGTAATTCTCAAAGCTGCAGGAAATAATTCTAACTCGAAAGTGAAATATCTTGTTGGAATAACCGAGGTCTGAACAAAATTTTTATAGATGCACACAAATATATGATAACATTGAAAAATACGTAATTCAGATCCTTGTTTAAGGATACTAATATTCGAATATTTTACAAATTTAATTTACTTCTGTTTTGTTTCTAACCATTATAGAATCAGATGGGTGGTAATGTCTTGAAAAATGAAAATCTGATCTAATATAAATATAGATTAATTACAGGATTATTGCCATAATCAGTGTCATGAAAGTAATACCATCTAATTGTCGAATCCTTGAAACTTGAATTTAAAATATCATAAGATCTCAGGATTCGAAGTTTCAAAAATTCGTAATTCTCAAAGCTGCAGGAAATAATTCTAACTCGAAAGTGAAATATCTTGTTGGAATAACCGAGGTCTGAACAAAATTTTTATAGATGCACACAAATATATGATAATATTGAAAAATACGTAATTCAGATCCTTGTTTAAGGATACTAATATTCGAATATTTTACAAATTTAATTTACTT